TTGAACCGAAACATGTAAGGCGAGTGAAATAAATAAGTGACCTAAGAACGTTGTTACACTCGACTGATTATTCATTGACAATTTGTAAATAAATATAAAATTTGATAATATGGGCAGTGCAGCAGTTTCTTCCCCTGTCAGAAGCTGAAATCCAGGGTTTCCTTGATCCAACTCAAGCCAACCTTTATTATTTTCTTGCGCTGTTTCAGTCTCTCCAGCTGCCCTCAGCACAGTCTCGAAACCCTCTCGCTCCCAAACCCCATGTGTACTCAACTGTGAACAGAACTTCCCATATTTCGATCCGGATTAACTGTTGCTATTCGAGCACATTCAGGGCCCTGGCATCTTATTGAGTTAGAGGGCAACACAAACACAGTACACGCATACACACACCAAACATCCATGTCCTGAGTTGGATTCGAACTCACGATCCGAGCGAGCGAAAATTAACTGTAGTTATGGTTTATATATATACCTATTAAAAATTAGATTTTATTTGGCGCTGCTGTCAAGTGAACAAAGATAAAATGAAGGAACTTGTCTCAGACAAGAAACTGGTAAAGAATTTCAGTTTGAAAACTTTTTTAATTGCTAGTGGGGTGGGACTATGTCCCTTGTACTGCGGCCACTTCTGGCCTATTGTACCAGCCCCAGATGATAGGTGAGGGTGATTGCGGAGCAATTGGTGGAATGGAGATTGGCAGGGATAACCGAAATACTCGGAGAAAACCTGCCCCAGCTCCACTTTGTCCACCACAAATCCCACTTGACCAGACCCGGGATCGAACCCGGGCCGCCGCGGTGGGAAGCCAACGACTAACCGCTTGAGCTATGGTGCGGCCCTTGAAGACATTAGGAGGTTCCGTAAAAATAAAGTATATAATGACTAGCTGAGCAGGAGTCTGTGATGTCTCTCTGCTGCAATCAGTGCGTGATTGTCGTTATGTTGCGACATAGTCACGACTCATTGAGCCGGGCAGCAAAGATCTGGGTCGACAGACTTTCACACCTGAGTACACACCGGCAACTTCCGCTGAACCGTCTGCAAAACGTCCCAACAAACAATTGAAGAAGAAGAGAAGTACCTTTCAGCTTTACCGTGTTGTCTGTCCGCATGTAACAACTGTGCTGGTGATCACTACTAAAATGTGTCTATATACTGCAATTTTCGTTAATATCGGGTGACACATAACGGACACGTTACTTGAAGACCTACACGTGTTGCTGCAACGTCTCTAGGGTAGTGCGAGAAATATTCCCAGCCAAACTTGTAGAAAATTGAGTACATTTTATGTACAGTACTCACTCACTCAGGTAGGTGAGCCCTTTTGAGAAGCTGCCAGACATCAAGGCTCCCACATTTTCTAGACAATCGGCTCACAGATGGCGGTAAGGTTGTCAGCCTTACGCGCCAGCCGGCCGCCCTTTACCCCACAGGAAGATTCCTGGTACTCATTTTTACTAGAGGCTACGTCGACTCCAGTGCCATAGTGCGGCTAGAAAAATCCAATGATATCGGGAATGGAACCCGCGACCTTCTGGTTTGTAGCATATTGCCTGAACTAGTTAAAGCAGGAGGTGCGTATATTAAGCACTGCGTTTTAAGCAGGTAGACTGAATGGTACTTGTATAAGGATTCCCACGCAGACACTTCAGTATTCCTGTCCATTGCCGTGGCACGTGATCAGATTTGGTACGAGCCGTGACGAGAAAGTGACCTACAGCACGTGTCCACTTCCGGTCTCTAGATCCCCCAATTTTCGGCCCCAAATCCCTCGTATTTCCGTCTGCGATACCCCCTTCAGGCAGCTCCACCTCTGTGGACACACGTTTGTATAATTCGGGGTTGTAGCCGGGGGTGGTGCTGTGAGCTGGAAACGACTCAGAGCCTCCCCAGACTGGTGCATCCTGTCACTTTTCCTGGTTGGCACGCAGACTTGGCGTTGAGCTTTATAAAAGGGAAGCACGTGGCTTCTTCAGCACAGAGCGGCCAGCTGCGTCAATCCGGCAACAGCGCATCTGTCATGGCGATCAAGGTAACTCACCACTTCATTCTGCATCTTGTGTTGTTAGGGATGGGCATATAGCACGCATGGCGAAATAGAGGTGCGTACGAAATTGTGATCTGGAATTCTGAATGAGGTGGACCACGTAGTGGACCTTAGCGTAGATGGAAGAATAATGTTAAAATTGATCTCCTGAAGTAAGAGGGATATTTCAGCATATATAGTTACTAGGATACGGGCTAGACGACCGAGGCATCAGGGTTCAATTCCCGGCAGGGGTAAACGGAAGTTCTCTGCATAACGTCCGGACTGTGGGGCCCACCCGTGTTCCTACACAAAGAGTACCGGGAGCTCTTTCCCCGGAGGTAAAGCGGCCGGGGTGTGAAGCTGACAATTCACCTCCATATAGTGCCGAGATCAAGAATGTTGGAGCTATACCTCCACTCCTTCATACGCCTCCATGACGTGATGATTATTGACTAAGCCCAGGGCTAACTCTACTTTTACATTTTTTGGATTATTTTGCGACCCTCCCAACAGCAAGGTGCATAAAAACATGGAACGCTAGAACAATATGGAAGCGAAGTGAAAAGAAGTAATTGTATAAAGTGAGAGCACGAGTTGTCTGGGTTTAAGTCTCGACACGGACATAGTCTTTTCCCGCGACTGAGCTCCTTGTGGTTTCCCTTAGTTCCTTCATGCAAGCGCAGGATTGCATCCCCGTCTCCTTCCACATCCCTTACATCTTTTAAATTTAAATTGTTCATAAATAAACAAAAATAAGCTTTTGTTAGATGAGTTTGGATAGCCGAGTCGTTACAGCGACGGGCTACGAGCTGGAGGGTCCGGGTTCGATTCCCGGCAGTGAAAGATTTTCTCTTCTCCGTAGCGTTCATACCGACTCTGGGGCCCACCCAGTTTCCTATCCAGTGGGTACCTGGGGTTCTTTCCGCGTGGGTAAAGCGACAGCTGACCACTCACCTCCATCTAGTGCAGAGGTCAAGCATCGTGGAGCTGTACCTCCACTCCGCCATGTGTCTCCATGGTATAGTACTTGATTAAGTAAACACGGACAGCTCTACCCTTTTTATGTCTTTATGTTCGGAGTGGATTCCTGCATTCAGTTTCAGACGCGAGAGTTCTGTGCTCACTCCTCAGTTCTCCACGTCCTGCTTATGTCTGTATGATTTAACCTCGTAGCAGTGGATGATTCTGAACTGTGTCGTCATCCTCCAGCTTATCATCATCATCAGCCTCTGTCTCCTGATGGCCACAGTTCGATGCGGGATCGTCCCAGAGGCTCGCTCCGAATATGACCCGCACCCCCAGTACACATTCGCCTACGATATTCGAGACGCCCTGACCGGCGACGCCAAGAGCCAGCAGGAGAGTCGCGACGGAGACGTCGTCCAGGGCAGCTACAGCCTGGTGGAGCCCGACGGAACAGTGCGTACCGTGCTGTATGCTGCCGACCCCGTCAACGGATTCAATGCTGTGGTGCATCGCGGTCCCCTTGTGCACCCCAAGGCCATTAAAGCATTTTGAGGATCCGCCGTTATTTATGCTGCTTGTCGTATTAATTAACCCTTATTTATATGCTCGCTCGCCATTATTGTGTCGTGGGAGGACACGGTAGTAATATCTCGTGGTTCTTATGGTTTCTACCGAATTTTAACACATGCAATCCCGACAACGTGAATTTCCGGTTCTTTTTATTAACAGATGCATGCAGTGGAGTTGCAGTTTGACACTAAATGGACTGAAATTTTGGTGTGCGAGGTATGTGAATGTGTGAAGGCGTGTTTGTTTGTTTTATCCGGTACTGAAAGTATTGAGAAATCAGCTGTTCATAATTATTTTCGGACGAGTTTTGAAGGCAAAGTTGTACATACAAATTTTATTGTGGAGTGGGAGGCGTTTTAAGACTGCCAAGTATTGCTATTTATTTTATGATTGCATTAAGTATTGCTTGTTGTTATGATCTCTTAGTCAAATCAGGGGCGTTTTGGCGTCTCAGGGGAACAGCCGCTTTTCTGCAGCTTGTGTTGCTGTTTTGGGGGGGTAAATATAATTTATCTGACTTTGATAATGTGAAGGTGTATTTTTCATCCTAAAGTAATAAAAACACATTAAACTGAGGCTCATGGTTATGTACGCGTGATGTGCTGTAGAGTCCAAATAAATACCAGTGTATAGTAACCACCAATGGGTACGCTATTATGGTCACCGTTCCTGCTCTACTGGTCAACTCTAGACGTTTATAGCTTTGCCGTGTGGTTGCAGAAACAGGCACAGCGCAGTTCGACACCTCCAGCAAGGGAAGTGACGGTTTCCCCTTATTTCGAAAGAAAGTCTTTAGGAACTGGACGTTGGAAAGCGTCAATATGATATTCGAGGTTCTCACAGCAGTGACTTAGAAGACTGCGGTCTTTTGGATTGTAGCGCCTTGTGGTTCGGGTGCTGCTGCGAATTGAACGACGCTACCACCAAGAAGACAGGCAACTACTGCCCAAATACGCGCATCTGTACAGACTCGAGTTTTTTGACAAATGAGCTCAGATCAGTTTTCGTTGCATTCGAAATTAAATTTTTACACATATCCTTCTGTTAGCTTCGCTATATCTTGTCTGTCAGTCTGTCAACTTGAAAACTGCTGAATGACTTTAATAATTTCGGCACATCGAAATTTTGCTTAGACTCGGACATCAGTAACGGACGCTTTCCGCACGCATTTTACTGAATATCTTGTAGAATAAAAAGGAACCGAACGGAAGTTTTAGAGACAAAATTAAACACGAATTTTATGTCCGATACATTTCTTGTAAGTCATAACTGAAAGTGATTTCACATCCTGTGCGTACCTTTCCCAACTTGTTTTGTGTAACGGTATACTAACTTAACGGTGATCCTGTAGTTGCATTACATAAAAGGGCCATCTTCCTCTGCAGACTGTAGAGACAGGTTTCATTGTCTTCCGAGGCTTGATTCTTATAGCACACTCAAGCCAATGTCATTTTCGATCTCAAGGTCATGATCTCTTATTATTCAATTTATTACCCCGACAGGTTTGTCAACTTTACATGCTTAAAAATACCGATGACAAGTTCCCCCCTCCCCAAGACCGTGCCCAAGGATTCCTGTCACCTACCTCTAAACCTGTCTTCAAGAAAGAAAGAGTAATTTCTCTTAAGTAACAGTGTCACTTTCTGCCAACAGAAGTCGTGTTCCACGTTCAGTAGTATGCACACTAGTCCCCGGAAGTATGAGAGACGAAACGTCGTCACAAATTAACTTCATGTTTCATCTTCCAGTTATGCTGAAGAGGTACTGATCACGTGTTTATACACAGAGTGTCCGAGAAGTCACAGCCCCTAGTGGAAGTACACGCCGTTTATTACAGCATATGTACCTGTATTGTCGCGTGGTCCTAATCACTTCTGACAGCAAACTGTCACGTGCTCGGGGATCCGTGACTAATAATAACGGGTTCTGAACTGGATGATAGGATTTATTATTACTTATTATCTTAATCACAGTCAATTACAATAACTCGCAATCAATCTACTGCCGAGGACTCACTCCCTTCTCTTTCTCCTGTCCTCTTACAGCTTCAGCTACTGAACTGACAGCGCGTTCTCACTTCGGGAATGACCGAATAGAGATCACCACCTCCAACAGTTCCTCTGTTGTTGTGTACTTATTCGTTGCTGTGGAAACTTCTGTTCATTACGCAGCAACGGTCTGGTTTCCACAAGTCTGCACCTTTTCATTTTCATATCCGTGGACACGTTTGTTAAACACCCAGCGATGGTTTGTGTCCACGGATCATATCTTCGTGGCAACGTGTTTACCGGCATGTCACAATATAGTTAGTCTAAATGAGAAGACTTCTCCTCGTCTTTTGTTTGACGTTCACAGTTCACTTTGCGGTCTGGGCCGCAAGATGGTTGGATTGGATAGACTACAGTACTGAACACCTGATATTATCTTCTCTGTGCTGTAGTGGTCAGAACTCCTGGCTACAGATCCACAGGTCCGGGTTCAATTGCCGGCGCTACCAGATTTTTCTGAGTAGTAGTGGTTCTGGATCGGGGTCCACTCGGCCTCGTGAGGATAACTGAGAAGCTGTTTCAAGTAAACATCGCCTCCAGCAATACTTTCGCTGTTTCACGCGAGATGCTGCCTAGCAACGGCCGTTGTCTCATTTCGCTGTCGTTTCCTAGCAACAGGTCTATACGCCACAATATTATTATTCCATCTACGTCAGTTTTTCCTTTGTAGAAATAGCATCGATAGTTTACATCACAGCGGGAATTAGGTTGGGCGCGAAACAGTGAAGGTCCAAAGAAACGGATCTTGAGAGTGTGAACTGTCGAACTGTCACAGAATATCGTCTGGGTGGGGGCCACATTTGTGGATAACGTATAGCATATGTTGCATAGGCCCTAATCGTAGTCCTGTCTTCGGTTCGGGGTGCTTTGGAATGACGACGCTCGGCGTCTCAGCCCAGACGGATGACACGGCACTCTGGAGATACACGGATCGAATCCCGTCCGGAGACTAGCTGCTTTTCCAGTTAGTCCTACAGAATCCTCAAGTGTTACGTAACATATTGTCGTGCAATAGAACAGAATGGTGACCAGACTTTCCATCTTCTGTCGATTGCAAAAATAACCTGTTGGTCAGTATTGGCGAGAGACCAGATAAGTGTGGACATCATCCCCAGAAGCGCCCTGTCCAGTTGGGTGCACCGCTGTGTGCGGTATAAAAGTCGACACCTGTACCTGTATGCGTACAGTAGCAACATGGCGCTCAAGGTAGGTCAGTTCACACGGCCGTACGAAATCTGCTGTCAGCTCTTGTACTCCTGCTGTAGAGCTATCTTGGTTGCTTGCAGCTTGTCCTCCTCGCCGCACTTATAGCCGTCGCCAGGGCCGGTGTCATAGGCGCCCCCGCCTTTGTGACCCCTGCAGCTGCCACCCCCTTGGCCTACGCCGCCCCCGCCGCAGTCGACACCGACTACGACCCCAACCCCCAGTACAGCTACGCTTACGACATCCAGGACGCTCTGACCGGAGACTCCAAGGGACAGCAGGAGACCCGCAACGGAGACGTCGTCCAGGGCAGCTACAGCCTGGTGGAGCCTGACGGCACCCGTCGCACCGTCGAGTACACCGCCGACCCCGTCAACGGATTCAACGCCGTCGTGCACCGTGAACCCGCCGTGGTGGCCGCCCCCGTCGCTGCTCCCGTGGCACATGTAGCTGCCCCACTAGCAGTGGCCACCCCTGCATATGGCCACACCATTGCCGCTTCTTATTACGGTTGAACATATCCTCTTTGTATTTACTGTCTGTTCATGACTGTTACAATAAAACTCTTTTGAAACCCAATCTCTTGTTCGTTATTCTGTCCATTGTATTCGACGCCATTTATGTGCACACTGGAGCTTCACAGCTTCCACTGCTTTCCAAATATAATTAGAATGATCAGGTCAAAGAGGATGAGATTGACGGGGCATATAGAACACATGTGAAGAAGATGAATGCGTATAGGATCTTGGTGGGAATGCCAGAAGGAAATAGACCACTAGGAATAACTAGACGTTAGTGGGACGATAATATTAAAATGTATCTTAGAAGAAGGATGGGGTGATATGAACCGGACTGTTCTGGCTCAGGATAGGGACTGATGTGAACACGGTTATGAACCTTCTGGTTCCATAAAATGTTGGGAAATCCTTGAGTGGGTGAGCGACTGGTGGCTTTTCAAGAAGGGCTCAGCTCCATGGAGTTACTGTATTCTCCGTGGGTTTTATTCTCTCATTGCACCGTTCATCGGTGTCCTGTCCCTCTTTCCTGGATCAGACACTTGAGACTTTGATTTTAGGAACTCTGGAAATTCGGAAGGGAATGTTCAGATAAGAAAATGCTTTACTTCAAACAAATGAGCATTGATTATGTGGAACATGAAGGGATGCGCGTTTATAGTTCCAATATTTCTCAGTAGGCTTGGTTTCACGATTTCAAACGGCTTCAAATTAAGTTTATAAGTAGAGTTTCTGGCTTTCCCCTCTCCTTTTTTAACATGCCGGCAGCTCTCATAGGGGGAGGGACATGAAAATGCGATAAGCCTGTAAGAACTTGAACTCGGGCGTCGTCATCATTTAAGGGGGCCTTCCTTGTTCAACCCCTTCCATGCTCAGATACGAAACAGAACCACGTTCTTTTGTTTTTTATCCTCATGCTCACTTACAGATTCAGTTTGCTATATGCTGCATATGGTTAGCTCAAATATCAAAAGATGGCAGCACATGTTTCGCTGAGACGCTCTTAGTAACAACAATGATGGACACTTTGTCTGAGAACAGCAAAAAAAGAATACGCAAATTCAGTTACAGAGCTCTTAAGGCTAGAGGGAAAAAATTTGCAAGGCGTCTGTAACTTCTTAAACAAAATTACTGAGTTTATTTAAAAACAGAAAGAAAGAAATTACAAAATCTTAATAATATATTCTCAGAGTTAGGGGATATAATCAGAAATCGCGGGGTGACCGCTATAATAGAATAAGATGTTTATAAGAATGTGCTACAGAGGGCCGGATGGGCGTTACCTAGGAAATTTTCGTATATACGTTTATTTTTTGCAAAATAAGAAACTCTTAGTACCGCACGCCAAAGTTGTATAAGGGAAGGCCGGTTTCAGAACAGCATATCTCGGTCGTATCAAGGACAGTGTCGAATACAAGGAATCCACCAACTTATTTGCACATTGTGATACTGAAAAAGTGAGCCGTAGTTTTGTTGTGACATCACAATTGGATGTGTGGAGTGACGTCATCACTGATTACCGACTTGTGGCAGTGGCGGAACACCTGCAGGCGGTGCACCTGCCTCACCCTCGGCGTCGCATCTCTAGAAGAATCATGGAATACTCCTCTCGGATCCCTTACAATTCACACACAATATTTGGCATAAGCAGTTGACATACCGTGATCGAGCAAGTTGGTGAAGCGCTAACGGGGCTCAACTCCCACGTTAGAATCCCTGCCAGGAACGGCCTCTCCTGGGTAACGGTCTTGTGACTGTGTGGTATATTTAACGACCCTGTCAGTAGCTGAGGCTGCATCTCTAGGATGACTCTGAATGATGAATTGGAAGGAATGTCTAAGGAAGCGGTCGTGGCCTAATTTGAGATACTATCTCAGAATTCGGTCAAAGGAACAAAGGAGAAGTACAAGGATACTGAATGACGTATGGGCTCCTTGGGCTGAGGTATGAATCCGGGAGCTGTAGATGAGAGCTCTGTCCGATCAGGCTCTTCTGGCTTTATATGCGGTGAAGATTCATATTTTGATCTACTGTGAAGACTGAACCAGCATATTCCTGCGAAACGTCGGTACTCACTTATATAACGGATTTGCATGGTAAGATGACTATAAATCACCAGTTAGGGCAGTATCGCTAAACGACTGTCAGTCATTGTGTCATCAATCGACTATGAAGTTGTCATTGCTGGGCCGCAGAAAGCAACAGTTGAAGTGGAGCAGCGCGCGGGGGCCTAATATGGAGGCTGTAAGGGAGTGAGACAGACCAACCGATGTGGCAACACTCGGCAGGCAATGAAAGCGAAAGTGACCGCACCCAGTGGCCAGACAAATGTCATGTGTAAGGCATGCACTACTCGTGGTTTTCCTTAGCTTCTCCTTGCCCTGCCCAGCTTCTAATGCGTCACCGAGATGTCTCTTTAAGGATTAACTAACTAACAAATTAACTGTACGGAACTGAGTCCTTCTAGTCGTTCAGCTACTCAAGAACTTCCCAATATTTTATGGAAACCGAAGTTTGATTGCCGTGTTCAGAAGAGCCCGTCACTGTTTCCTATCCTGACCCAGATCAATCCAGTCCACACCACCCCAGCCTATCTCTCTAAGATCCATTTTCATATTATCCTCCCACCTACGTCTGAGTGTTGATATAGGTCTCTTTCCTCTGGCGTTCCCACCAAAACCATGCATGCATTCCTGTTCTCTCCCGCGCATGCTACATGCGGCGCCCAGCTTATCCTCCTCATTTTAATTATACTTGGAGAAGAGTACGAGTTACGAAGTTCCTCATTATGCAGTTTTTCTATAGCCTCCTATTATTTCACCCCTCTGCTACCGAAATATTCTCCTCAGTGCCCTGTTCTCGAACACTCTCAGTGTCAGAGACCAAGTTTCACACCCATACAGTGAAACCTTGGGGAGGCTTACGCTGACAAACACGGTTCACGACGTTACAAGATGAAAGGCGTGCGTGTGTTGCCATCGAGCAGTATTCGTTTTTTGTTAAACAGACACGAATATCATAGATAAATCAAGACTTGTCTATAATTCTATACATGTATAATATGTACCACCTATTTCACTTAAAAAACTCTACCCTGTTTTGCCCTTAACATACTATTTACGTGTTTCGCATGATGCTCACGATAAACAGCGGTTGAAGATTACTGCCTCCTGGTGTATGCCGCTGTGTAGTCTGGTAGATTGTATCCAACGTTTCGAGGAACCTGCTGCCTCTGTCTTCAAAGTAGATGAGTAAACCGTGTGAGGGAGCAGCTGTACGAATTTAGAGAGACCCTAAGCGAACCAGCGGGGATAGTGGGAGCAGCGTGACCTTGGGCCCTCTACAGGGCCGTTTTCCTAGTGCAAAGTGAAAGGGGACCCATCCATATATCTGTACGATTTTTCACTTTCAGCTTAGTTTTCTACACTGAAGATGGAGGCAGTATGTTTGCACGGACGTTCATCACATCCAAGAATATAGTCATTTTGACAGTTAATACCGTCAGTAGAGTTATTATAACTACACATAACTGTAACAGCTGACTGGGAGACAAGTAAAACAGGCCGAGCTTTCTTGTTATGCGGTCCACGCTTTGCCGACGTGATTTACCAGAGTGACGCGGTGGTGCCACCTCTACGGGCGTACATGAAACTGCTGATGGTTCACACCTCGAGGCCTCTGTTGGCAAATGTCAAGATTCTCTATACCGAGTGTTCATTATTTCTTAACCATCTGTCAGCAGTACAGATACTGTAGCCTGAAACGGTAATGTAGCTGGTGAATAATGACTGGAGAAGGATTTGGAAGGGGTGGTCCTATCCTAATTTGAGGTACTGTTCCTCTATTTATGGAGGACTGAGGAAAACCACGACGACCCTCAGATATTATATTTCGTATCCAGGGCAAGGTTTATACCTAGGAGCCTTAGAACGTGAAGCCGGATTGTGCGTATCGTGTATTTTCTCAGTTTTACCACCCTTACCACCCCCCCCCCACACCAAGGTAGCAAATGAAGCAAGGGAGGTGAAGTATGTCTGTCCCTGTACTTGTCACACTAATGCTACAACAATTTAACATTGAAAGCGCAGGAATTCTGTGCGGCTCTCACAGACAGTAAATGCAGCAAGCTACGGGCCAGCCGTTCAGCTGTGTAGAAGGAACGAGTTTTGTACTGAGTCGGCTGAGGAACTGCCAGCTTATCACGAAATATTCTGCCCCATTGATGGTGCATCACTTATACTGACTAATTAACTAACTCTGTGCAACACAGTGGCCGCGCACTCAAGGCATGGATGTCTGTGTGCAGATAGCGGCCTTGCGACGGGCTGATCCCCCGACCAAGGAGTCCTACCAACTATGTATAGGATTACGAAACTGAAGAAAGCGGCCGGGACCCAACAAAGAGCTGTAGAGTGACTGATGAATGAATGAATGAATGAATGAATGAATGAATGAATGATTGTTTAAGTCAGTTTCTTGCTTGGTTGGTATTACAGCACGACCAGCGAGGGAGACGCTTTACCGTCATCCCAGATCTATATCTGAACCTGTATCGCTGTGTTCGCCTTTAGTACAAATTTGGTTGAAATTAATCGCATGACTCAGGAGTTACGATGGCCCATAATTCATAACATTTCGTTCGAATCCGGGATCCAGTTCAACCGATAGGTCAGAGGTCACAGCGGGCGGCAGCTAGGACAGGTTCATAAACTTACATCTCCTCCCATTCTTTATTGCCGTTTTGTTTGTCATCCTGTCCCGCCTTCTGATTTGCTCCCCGTTCTTACGTAGGCGGTTCATACTTGACCCGGTATTTTCATTGTTTCGAGTAAACAGATGTGTGGAGCTGTGTCAGCCGTTTCGTGTGACCGTCCTCCTCACCTATACCGTACTTCCGCGCATGCGCATTGTCGTACCTTATTATGGCATCTGTAGAAGTCTGCAGAGCAAATCCTCGCTAATCGGATTAATTGCGGGGAGGTAATTCAGATTAAGCGATA